CCCCAAACCCCATTCTAACTATTAAGGCCCCTACACCCTGAACCCTTATGTGGTAGCCCTTAAAGCGCTCTGAACCCTAAAGCCCGAAGAGACCCCCACCTCCTCGAACATGAAGGAGAAGTTCTTCACGGCTCGCGTGTCCCAAGGCAGGCGTCGGTTGAAGGATGCTGCGCGGGAAAACATCCTTCGGGCTTAGAGAGTTTAGGGTCTTAGGTGTTTAGGGTTTAGGGTCTTCCGGGTTTTTGAAGTTTGTAGAGTTTAGGGTCTTAGGGCTTCTATAGTTTAGAGAGTTTAGGGTCTGAGGGGCTTAAGGTTTAACATCCTGCACAACCGGAAACACATGGAAAGACTGTTGGGGTTTAGGGGTTAAGGGTCTAGGGGTCCAAAACTCCTCTGCCATACCACCAGAGACTCCAAAACCTCTTAATTAAGGACCATACCTTAAATTGTAAGGTATATTCCCACTTTGGAGTCACTGGGTTCATCTGATGCGGCGTCCACACTCAATATGTTGGCTCAAAAGTAAGAGCTTGCTATGTGCAGTGGCGCCCGTTTAGAGTGTAGGGTTAAAGGTATCACTGGCTTCGGTCCGGTGATGCAACGCTTAACCCTGAACCCTAAACCCCTAAACCCTAAACCCCTAAATCCCTAAATCCCTATACCCTAAACCCCTAAACCCCTAAAACCCTGAACCCTAAGGAAGCGACCCAAAGGGACCTCTGGCCGCAAGTTTCCGCAACAAAGTCAGAGGTATCCCTAAACCCTCAGCCCCTGGGTTCGGGGCTTAAGGTTTAGGATCCCCAAAACAGAATGAGATGGACTGACGCCACAAGCTATTTAGCCGCCTTTCCGCAGATCACATTGGAGATCCAAACTTAGACATAGAAGACTTCAAACTACATCTCTAGCAGCACGATTCATATAGGGGCTTGAGAATTTCAACACGGCTGGTCCGGGCTCAATTTAGGGCCTCAGCAACTAGATGTTGTTGCTTTGGGGTTTATAATGCTTCCGTATTATGGCAGATCCGGCACTTGCATTACATATGTTTTCGTCTGGTACTACAACATATCTATATAGCTTGGGGAGCATGTGTGTCTGTCTATACTAGTAGAACGGATCATCGGACTCCTGGGGCCGGTTTCGCTACTAATGCCCACAGAAGGAAACCCAAAAACTCGCACAAATAGCTCCTGCGGAGCCCCGCTGGGGTTTAGGGTGTAGGGTTTTAGGGTTTTGGGGTTTAGGGTTTTAGGGTTTAGGGTGTAGGGTTTAGGGTTTAGGGTTTTAGGGTTTAGGGTGTAGGGTTTAGGGTTTAGGGGGTCATGCGCTCCGCAAATCGCTGATAAGTATTGAGGCCCTCTGATATAAAGCAGCACAGGTTGAGTTCCTGCTGAGATCGACCACCGCCGAAACACACCAGGATCCGATGGCTTGGTTGAAGGTCGCGGCATCGAGAAACCTCGGATGGGAACTGCTTCTTGATTATCGTCCTATCATACCCTAAAGTCGTCCTAGACTCGAGAATGTCGTACCTTTCTTGGATAACCCTCAACAGAAGCTTAGCTGATCAGATAGCATGTGCTATATATTAAGCTAGGTTCCCCAGTAGCGACTTAATGTAAGGGTACCCTTCTCCCTGCCAGTTGGTTCTTAAAAAAGGGCACCCAAAAGAAAAAGGGCAAAAGGGTACTACTGGGAAACCTAGTAAGGGTCTTATCAGAGCCTCAACCTCCAAAAAATGGGGATATGTCTGAAGGGGATGACAGAGATTCCCTGAAAGTTGGCCGGGTAAAGGCCGGCTAGGTGATTCTTCATGTCTTGGAGTTCGTACCTGGGCTTAGGATTTACGAGCCTTTGGGCTTACGGTTTACGGGTTTGGGGATTTAGGGTCTGGTGCTTGCTTTTGGGGTTTGGGGTTTAGGGTTCGAATAATCTACTGCCTGTGGCGTTGTACCTCATAAGTAAGGTGTGATCGCCTACAAGTTCGTACGAGGCTACTCGCAGAGTTGGCTCAACATGTCGGTGCAGGGTTTGGGGCTACCGGTAGAGCTTCACTCTGCGTACTGGCGAGTCTAGGTCCAGGCCTTTGCTGTAGGGGCCTTCATGATTCGAACAGGGTTTTGGGGTTTGTTATACTAAAATTGCTGCTTATCTTAGGGGCCGAGTACCTTAGCCCAAGAAACGTTAACCTTTTGAAGTATAATAGGTTTATACAAGCCGCAAAAGGTTAAAGGTTACCTACTCAGCCCTTAAGTTATACTTCCATAATGGAGCCCTAAACCGTAATCTGTAAACCTCACCCCCTCAAACATGAAGGACCCTACACCCTAAACCCTAAACCCTATAAACCCCTAAACAAAAAAATCCTGGCTGAGGGCCGCATATCCCCAGAACTCTTCGGACCAGAGCAAGGCACATACTTCCCATGCTCGTGACACGCGAGGTGTCCCAGTTACCAATCCGCTGGTTGAAGGCCAGGGCGCCCTCGAACATACCTCAGCTGTAAAAAGTTGGGCCCTTAAAGTTTAACCTTTCAACTAAAGCCTATAACCCCTAGGCTATGGTAGCTGTTCGGCTTCAGGGCTCGTATTATGGGGCTTACCTAGACCCGTAAATGTCATACCGTTCACTAATTGTCCATAATCCGGTTTCCAAGTTTTTGGGGTTTACTATACCCATGGGCTCCACTGTAGTTCCTTTTTGGAAATACCTTATAGGATCCTAAACATGAACCACCAAAAGGAACTACCATGGAGCCTATGGGTATACCCTAAACCGTATAAAGATATCTGTGCTTGGGTGATTTCGTTGTTTGACACTTTCAGGGTAAAGGCTCTAGCGGGACCTCTAAAGACTTCACTTCCAACTTCAAACAGCACGGAACTGCAGCATCTCCATTTTGGCTTCGTCTTCATGGCAACATAACCATAAGCAAAAAAACCATGAAGTAGTTACGAATTCAGTTGAATGCGCGTTTTTGTCGACTTCCGGATCTAGTAGCCCCTCTCCTGGAACCCGAAACGCTGAGGGTTCTGCAACTTGTGTAGGGCGGAGATGGCTGTGGATAGA